GACAAATAGATATCGCATGAATGAAATGTAAAGGACTCGACCAACCCAGAAAGTTAAGGAAGGGTGTCCACGAATTGTTCACATAAATATGCGAATATAAGAAAAGCATCGACGGAACATAACTCATCTAGAAACTTCCGCTGAAGATAACTTGGTTTTTTCAGTGCACAACAGCATATTCACCAAGGCAGAGCTTCTCCATAAATGACTTGCCTTTTTTCCCTTTTTATGGCGAGCAAGAAATTATACAGAATATTTTATAGAAACTGAAGCCAGTAATGTGCCTGTTTGGAGAAATTATTTGTGAGGAAGGTGATGAAATAAATACATAGCAAGGGATGAAGCGGCCCTTGTTGATCAGTATCTTAGGGATGGGCATTCGACTCCATTCGTGGCATCATAAAGGTGATTAAATGCATATTTGGCCTATACAATATCTTGCAATGACCTAACGATCTACCCAGGGTAATTGGGGGTGAGGTATAGCAGTGGTGGTGCAACCGTTCATCACGAGTACGGAAATGGTTCGATCTCTCCCCGGTCCCATTAAAGATCTCATAGTTCCGGGGTCGGGAAATTGGTACCAGACTTATGTAGGAACAGATCATTGGCTTCAATCCAAGTGAGAATGATCTGAACGAGTCATACAAAACGAAAAAGAAATTAAATAAATGAAAGATACGACAACTTCAGCGCCAATTCGTCAACCACAGAAGGATGGAGTGCTTAGGTAGATCAGGACGCTGGATTGCACCAATGACCGTGTGTAATGCAGTGCACCACTGACAGCTACGCTGCAAGTACAGTTCAGAAAAAAATACATATCATAAAATATAGATGTTGCAAATAGTTGGAGAAAAATGTAATGAAGGATTTTTTGTCAGAGTTGTCCATGGTGAATGTACTAGTATTTCGTGGATGTAGTTACGAACTAATAAGCCAGAAAAAAGCATGGAAGAAAAGAAGCAATTCGGTCATTTTGCACATAAGAGGAAATAGCTGACGAAGTGCTTCAAGTCAAGTAGAGGACACTATTCATACTGATCGTTGAGCACTTCGATGACGTCATCACTATCCTGTGACCGATGCTGGTTTTTTGTTAAAGGATAAAGTAAAGGATAAAGCTCTCGGCGTTGATCAATCCCTAAGGGTTGCGCCATGCATTCGACCTCGTTAGCCAACGTTGGAGGTGATTAGATGCACATCTGGCGTTTAAAAAGACTTGCGGAGGCCTACCGATGTGTCGTATCAATGCTGCTATCCTCCCAGACAAGTCTGGTACCAATTTGTCGACCCCGGAGGGATGGAAGGCTGGTTGACCCTGAGGTACAGGGATTGACCTCTGTGTGTATTGCACGACGCCTCTAACCACTGCGCTATACGCGATTTTTGTTGGCTGCCAATAAAACCCTTGTAATTACAGTACTTTAATCGTTGAAAACGTTCGTAAAAGAGATCTTGCTCTGCTGTTTTAAATGGGTTATGTGATTTTTTACAACGTTATTTCAGTCCGAACTTTTCAAAGGGGTGGGGTCACACGCAAACTACACATTTGAGGACGTGACTGCATTAGAATTGGCGAGTTCTCGTCATATTTTTAGCATCTGACATCGAAACTAGTTATTTGCGTACTGTTCATAGTTTTTTGATAATTAGAATACGTGAGCCATTGAAAATGTGTCGGGCTACAGAAGAAACTTTGTTCTCTGACATTTAGACTTTAATATTTTAGAGTAAGAGTGGGTCTTTAAAACTCTTACTCGGTTATTAAAGTTGTTTAGAATAAAGATTTCCAGATGGAATGAAAACGATGAACGATATCCTGTCAGTCATAAACATTAGCCAAAATGAAACGGTGATATCATTGTGGTCTAACGGACGAAATACCAGTCGTTCAACAACTTTCGTTTTCGAAACACGAGCTTCGGTGAAAAAGAAGTGTCGAAAGTACAACTTCGGGGCTCCATAGAATAATGACTTCATCAAAGTAGAGTAGAAATCTTGTATAATGTCTGCAAAAGTCTCTGTATTCTGTTGCTTTTCATTGCAATTAATAAAGTTCATTTCGAGCTGAGATATTCTTCTTTAAAGTTGAAAGTGGCCAGCATTTCCACACCGTTTAAGTGGAAATCAATTCACATCGTACCCCAAGTGTTAAGAAACGACTTTCATTTAACTTTTCCATGAATACTCACTGGATATTTGGAAAACGTGAACTTTAGATCAGATCGAACCCGCGATTTTTCCGGGGTTTCGCGTGCTGCTCACTGCACCATTGAGTCCCTTGCTTTACCGTTCTCTCAGCCACGCTTCTAAATGAAATGCCAACATCGTGAATTCAGCGCTGTTTTTAAGCTTAAACGAGGTGGTTGCATGAATTTTCTATTATGGGTAACATTTTGGCTTTCCTCAGAACCCCGGCGACTCGAGTCAATTGCCCAGAGCCGCTCGTCCTCAGGATGTGGCTAGGTATTTGCATTCGTATGGAGACAAATCTGATGATGAAGTAGAGAATTGGAAGGCTGAAGTAATGGCCTCATTCGGCAGTAACCGGTTAGACTCCTTTAGATACTCGACCAATATCATAGTGATTCATAGGAAGGTAATCTTGGCGCCAAAACATCGTACACAGTGGTAATTTATGCAAAAACCCCATTGAAGGTTAGCAAAACAGCAACATATAAAGTTTTGTCAACTAAATTGCTGCTCGTAATACAAGCCTCAGTAGGAAGATATGTTTGTTGGCTTCAGAAAATCGCAGTTTTATCGTCTTAGAATAGAAAAACTTGCATGCTGTTGATAAAAATCTGCCTTTATCAGTGATTTTTATCTCAGTTCATGAAGTTCATTATGAGTCAAGGTAATGAACTTCGAAAGAGAAATTAAAAAAAAAACTATCTTGACATGTTAGTAGGCCACCCACAATTCATCGTATAGCCCACATAAGCATTCAATCAACCCTACGAAGCTGCGAATGGCATCGAATGCTTGACGTATCCCTAAGGAATAGATTGACGCCAATCGCTTTGTCTTCACCACTTTATGAGCCGAGACGTGTATACTTAGAGCTGGAATACAAAAGTATACCTACGATTTGAAGTCAATTCGTACGTCATTACATGCTAATTAATAACTACGTCTAAGATGAAGTACATTTTAAGAGTAGAACTGTACAAAAATAAAATTAGCAAAAAAAGGAACCACAGAATAGGGGCATTAGGAAATCTTCACCTCTGACAAGGTTACTGAATAACGAGTTCTGAACAGCTCTTCCCTGACGAATGGTGCGTCCGGTTATGAGGTACTCAGTCAGGAAAGAGTGACATCAACATTGTCGACACTAAAGTAGGCTATCGTCTAAGACGATTAAGAGAGAAAAAGAAAAAACAACGTTCATCTACGTAACCATAGTTTCGTTGTGGGACATCAACATGTAACTTAGAAATGATTTCGCATTAAAGAAGACTTCGTTTAGAGTAATAGGGATGTCCACTAAGAAGGCGTTGTAGAACTCAACTATGCAAAAATGAAATCTCTTCAATAACATTGCTAAGATGGAATTCCACACCACAGATTTGTTCCATTGACGAGTATCTCCTAAAGAATCTGACACCATACACGAAGCATTAAACTGATTTCTCTGCATCTTGCTGAAAGCAACGTCTCCATGTTCATCGTTATGAATAGTTTCGTTACTTAAACCCAGTACAGATTCAGCCGCAATCAAATACAGACAACGCTTCCACGGCTCCAGATTCGAGAACGAAATTTTATCCGATTTTATTTAGAAATCCTGTAGAATTTATGAGATTTCTAGGCGCATCGCTTCTAGAAAGTACTAGTTCTTCACGAAATTATTTCGCTCTTCGGTTCCCTTGACGTTTTTACATATGAATTCTTCATGTGTGACTGACATTTCGACATGACGCAATTTTCGGGACTTCCAGTTGTTTACGATGACATGCAACTGGGCTAAATCATTAATCATGGTTACCGTAACACCATCGTCCAGTTTCGATGTCATAGACTACTTTGACAGCTACGCATCAGTGGATATCTACTTCACTGATACGAGAACAAGAGGTATTAAGTGGTCTCTGCTTACAGAACAGACCAAAACAAAGTTGTAATCATATGTGAGACGATAAGGTTTGTCTGTATAAGCAATCTTTGGAACTTCTACGCTTACTGCGTAGCGAAAGCGTCAGAGGTACTCTATATTACAGACATGAGGAATGGTCCCACACCGCCCCCGAACCAACCTCGCCATAGCACTGGGCTCGGCAAGTTAATAGTAGGGTTTCGCAAGTCACTATATAGATTAAATATACGTTCAATTACCTCAAATACCTAGCATATCCCTAATGGATAAGTTGACATCAAACGCTTGATCTTATAACATGAACACGAACCATACTTGAATCTGCTACCTAACATTCCTATCATTACGCTTTTGTCATCGTAGCTATCTTGACACTCATACCTATGTTCCCGCCAGTTTTAATTGCTTTGATGAGATTACTTTCCTCATTGGTTATTTTTCATACACTTCTTTAATGAGGCACACTGTCATTTCACTATTCATTTCATTTTCAAAACAAAAAACCATATTGTATTAGAACTCTTTAAGCCTCAGTTAAAAATGTACTGATAAACAATATACATGGCCTTAGGCATAAACGACCATCAAGTTGATTAAAAATTAACCGTAAGTTAGTTAAACGACCGCCTTATGAAACAACGTCAACTACTCCAAAATGAAGTAGTTTATCACTTCAAAGGGAAAGCAAAGAAACATTCATAATCGGAAGTTTGGACAGCGGATGGTTCGGAACAATGGATAGCACAGGGATAAAGATGGAGTCTTTACTCCTAATAAAATCAATTTTTATTGTTTTCCGGAGTTCATAACAGGACTGAAGATTTTATTGAAGCAGAGACCGGATGTTTCATAATAAACGTAATGCGATACGCAAAGTTTCGTAGAATTCTGGAATAGCTCATTTCCAAAGCTTTTTAATCGACATGTTCTTCTCCGAATCCTTTTGCATGACCTACGAATATATAAAATAACCAGTTATAACAGCACAGCACTTAATAGAAAAGAAAAACAAGATTCCATAATGGAAAAGAGTTTGCAAAAATAAAAAAATCGACGAGAAGAAAATTTTAAGAATAAAAAAAACAAAATGGAATTGTGCGCTACACCACCAGATTACATAGCGGACAGTCTAATCATGAAATAAAGCAAATAACGAACCTTTCCTACCGCCATCTCAAAATCTTCTTGGGTAACATGGATACGTCGCTCACGAAGAGCAAACATCCCAGCCTCCGTGCAAACTGCCTGAAATTCATTAACTGATCATAAACACATCTATACACTGTAATTCTTCAATTAAAAGTGAGTTTCTAGTACTACACACATGTTTTTCGAGACATATCTTCCATATAAAATCCCACTGGTCATTCACAAGTGGTTGGTTACTCGTTCCCATCCTTTATATTCCTATTGAGAAAACACGTGTTATTTTATTTCTTTATTTAAAAATAAGTTAATGTTTCGGGGATTTCGCCTTCCTTACAGCCTACAAAGGTCAAATTGACCGCAATCTACCCAGCCAAACATTTCCATAACCAAACAGAGAAAGTGCTACACCAAGATTTCAATAACATTGAAAACAGAATAACTTCTTTGAACACTCATCGCTTTCTACGAGTCTTCCACTGAATATGTCACGTGGACACCAACCGCACAGAGTTCACAAGAAGCGTAATGTATCCCTCACACTGGAATAAAAGGTTTAGATACTGCCCAACACCATGCGTGATTATGAGGCCCTCCTTCCTGCGGTTCATTTTCGGATTCCTGGAATTAATCCAGAATACCTCGAGAGTTTTGCACGCCTGTGTTTTCGACCGATATGCGGGGATCGTAACTACTACTTCAAAATATTCCAGTGATGTCTCTGCGTCCTATGCGCACATAGTGGGGTATTTGGTCTAACTTTACGTTTACTTACAAGGTGTTCTTTTATAGAGGCGCAGAGTGGTTCTACCAGTTTCGCAAATGTATTCCTTCCTATAGGCTTTATAAGAGATCAAATAAACTGCACCCAAACTCATGCAATCACCATCTCTATTTTTACTCACTACCCTCTATACGAACGTGTCGAATAACACCGCATGCAAACCATCGGTGAGCTCCTTATACAACACGATGAAGCAATAAACATGTACGGCTTCTCGATTCAGCAGTTGATGGTACTCTTAAAGAAGTGCTTAAACTCAATCGTCAGATGGTCGTGGAGGTATTACGCCCAAATGAGAGCGTTGGCAATAGGACAACGACTGGCACCAAGCCTTGCCATCACATTTATGTCCGAATTGGAAGCAACAGCAACTGACTTCCGGCCATTATTCTACTATAGGCATGATTGCTTTGTCATTTGCTCAGCACAATAAGAAATGGACAAATGTTTTGAGTTACTGAATGAACAGTCGGAGTATAGTTTCACCCGAGAGAAACAGAAAACTGGCTCCACTTTCTGAACATTCAAATTAACCTATCCGAAACCAGCTACATTAAGAACTGGTACCGAAAGCCAAGTGGTAAAAACATCTTGGTTCATTACGTCTCCTCCCACCCCACATACAAAAAGGGCGCTTATAAGAAACATGTTTCTAACAGCAACCAGAATGTACACAGCAAGAGAGTAGGAGGAGGAGTGCCTGAACTTTGCGCGGTAAGTAGCAATTTCTAATGGGTTCGAAACTGTAGCTACTCGGAATAGGTGTAGAGGAAAACCCAAGCTTCCAAATGACAACTCTAGCGATAATAGAGTCCCGTTTATTCTTCCCTCCATTTCAAATAAAATAAATGCAGCTATAAAACGATGCTTAAGAAGGGGCGGTGTAGAGAATTAGGTAACAGTAGTTAAAATTCCACCAAGCACTTTTAAGATGCCAGCTAGTTCACAACTGCCTGCATGAGCATCTATGTACAACGCGAAATGGCATAATTTGGCAAAAGGGTAGGTAGAGATGGTGGCTGCATGAATTCGGATACGGGTTATTTGATACCCTGTATAATGGGCGGAGAGGAATACATTTTATAATCAAATAGACCATTCTGCATTCCTATAAAAGAAAACCCGGTGGGTAAACTGAACGTTAAACCATTTTTTCAGGATTTTGCTAGTCTAGTCAATGTGGTTCTCTCGAATCCCGAGGTCAGTCTAGCCAAAGTCTGCCCCGGATCGTCACCATATGTTGCCACCGACGTTGTGGATCAGAGGAGAATTTACCACCATGCGAGAAGTTTGATACCAGAACGGTGGCGGATCATGGTACTGGTTTACTCTTAACTGGGCTTCATGATTGAAACGCTGCACTCTTTCTCAGCTTGGGAAGCCCGACACCCAGAGACACCTAGCCACGATGAGGCGATAAACAGATGCGAGGAATCTACATCATAAGACATCTAAAAGAGCTAGCCAGATCATGTGGTGAACACCTAAAAACGCTTTAATTCGGCTATCAAAAGATTCGTGGGAACGGTACGCTCAACAACTTAACATGTCGATTATGAAAGAGATTCTTAAGTCGCTGCCGAGCCCAAGTACTAATCTGACCACATCCATGGACGACGGTTTTTAAAAATATGAATGAAGGTAATCTTTGGACTAGCATGACATATGAAGACAAATTTGTCTAAGTGTCTAACTATTCAAGTAGGTTCCCAAGATCGACTTTCTCTTAACCTCGGCATTGGAATATGAATGTGTCGTTTTCTTGTTCAGCAATCGCGAGGTTTTTAAACAGCATACATTTACTTCCATAAAAACACAATACAATACAACGCTAGCTGACGTTTCGGCAGTATCGCCTTCTTCAGAGCCTGGAAGGGTATACTGATATACAATCTACTAGGCCAAACGCTTCAATAACACTTACAAGAAGACGAAGAACTCTCCGGCAATTACATAATCAACAACTTCTCGAAAAACCCACCGCTTTTTCG